GGGAGCACCCACCTCCTGGAAGTGCACTTCCGAGTCGGGGAAACAAAGGATCCCTGGGCTCTTTTATCTTTTAAAGGGACTTTACAGGAAGACACCTCATGGAGGAGCCATGTGCCAAGTCAGGAAGAGGTTCAGGGTTTGAATCTGCTCACTTGAGGTGGCCAGCCACACTGACCCCTCCCACCCCAAGGTGCAGCGCAGGGTCCTTTCCCCACACCTGTCTTCAGGTGCACCCCAACACGACAGGAGAGAGGGGTCTTACCAACATTCCCCCAAGTTCAGAATCGGGGTTCTTCAAAACAGTGTCCCGGCCCTCACCGTCTGGCAAACAGCCTCTGCCTGAGGGTGGGAAGGGTCTGCTCCGACTCGGAGGGGAGGGCTGACGGCCTCAGGTAGGGGAGCAGGTCTCAGTTCTCCCCGTTGCCCTTAAGCAGCTTAGAGGTCAAACGGAGCCAAAGACGCGGAGGAGAGACGTAGCCCCGTCCCGGCCTCTGCCCACCCCAATAAGACGATCAGCACAGGAAGGAGACTAGAGCCCCCAGGGACCCCTGCCCCTCCCCACCTTGGAAGTCAGGAGACAGAGGACAGCCTCAACTGGGGAGGTGCAGCCACGTCCTGGCCCGTCAAGAGATCCCAGCGCAGAGGGACAGCGCCGTACAACTCAAGTCAGGAGGAGACGTGGCCACTCGCGCTCACAACCCTGGAAGGACCTGGGGCAAGGACAGGCCCCACCGTGCCCAGAACACCCCCAGCAAGGCTCCCAAGGGACCGCATGATGCGCTCAGTACAGCAGGGACGTGCCAACATGTGCCTGTCCCCAAGACCCAAGATGGGTAGGCAGGGGTGGGGTGGGGACCAGAGGGGAGGCAGGCTCCGTGAGCAGGCAGGGCAGGTACCCCAAGTACCCAGGAGCAGTGTCAATGCCCCCACTGGGTTAAATGGTGGCCCCCGGAAGATACGTCCAAGTTCTAACCCCAGGACCCTGCGATGGCCACCCTATTTGAAAATAAGATCTTTACAGATGCATTTAACTTAAGGATCTCAAGATGAGACCATCTTGGATTTAGGGTGAGTCCTAAATCCAGAGACTGATGTCCTCATAAGAGCAAGGCGGAGGGAACTCTGCGGCATGGACAGAGGAGGGCCGTGAGGTTAGAGGTAGAACCTGGAACCCAGCCTCCACTGCCCAGGTGGGCCAGGGTGCCGGCCATCAGCACTGGAAGCTGCAGAGAACAGGCAGGTCCTCCCCTGGGGACTCCAGAAAGGACCCGCCCTGCCGGGCCCTGGACACTGGCCTTCAGAACTGGGCGAGAACGAGTCCCAGGTGTTTTAAGCCCCTGGTGGGTGGCTGTCCTGGTATCGCCCTGGGAAGCCACCCAAGGCCCTCTTCACATGCTGCCCAGGTCCACGGGAGGCGGGCCCTGCGCCCAGTGGGCTAGAGCGTGGGCCTCCAGCAGTGACCTCTGCAGGAACCCCAAACTGTGACTCCGGGACCCCCCAGGCTGTGCCAGCCCCGGGGCCCTGGGCGTCTGTGCTCGGCGCCAGCTCCCGGGGGACTCAGATGCCCCAGGCCTGGCACACCCTGCGGGCACCAGGAGCCTGCAGGGTGTGTGGAGGACTCACCTGTGGGTGAGTGGAGGACGGCGCTGGGGCGGGGAGGGAAGAGCATCTCCTCAAGACTCAGGGGGACCCTGGGGACCACAACAGGATGGGCAGCAGCAGTCTAAGAGGCCAGGTGTGCGGTGCCCATTCCTGAGCTGTCACACTGGCTCCGCTGGGCAGCGGCTGGGAGGGCGTGCAGGTCCCCGGTCCTCTCAACACCACTTGTAGGGCCTGGGGGTGGGGTGGGGACAAAAGGGACTCTGTCCTCCTTGGTCATCTGCCCCCAAAGAGCCTGCAAACATTTCCGAGTCCCCAAGTCTGCACAGGGCCATCTCGGGGGAGGTGGTCAACAGAGGGGTGTCTGAGGGAGGTGAAGAGGAGGGGCCAGGCCTCCCGGGTCCCCAAGGACGTTCAAGCTCGGCGCAGTCCCTGGGCTCCAAAGGCAGACAGGATGACCTGCAGGGGGTCCAAGCAGGAGGAGGCGCGTCTCCATCCTGCTGGAGCCTGGGACCATGGCTCTAAGGTCAGCGCCATGCCTTCCCTGGGGCTCCCAGAGGCCCCACACCCCTGCACGTGGGTCCTCCTCGGCCACCAGCCCCTTTACCACAGAGCAGGTGCCCCTGTGCGAGGCCTCCCAGTGGCCCCGAGACCCTCCTGACCTCCAGGCCACGGCCACTGCACAGAGTCAGGGAGGCTGCCTCTCTGTGCACGGTGACCCTGGATGGGAAGTCTAGGAGCAGCCAGGACCCAGAGGGAAGCCGTCTGCTCGGCAGCTGGGAGCTCACTGGGACGTGGGAGGCCAGGACGGGCAGGCTGCTGCCCCTGAATCCACTAAAGCATGACTTCCCACCTGGATGCAGGGTGACCACCTGGCTGGCAGCTGTTGAGAGGCCACGGCAGCAGCCTTGGATGCCAGCAGTTCTCAGATGACCCCGGTCTCCGTCCGCCTGCCGCCCGTGACCACATCTTCCTCCTGCTCCTCCTGGGCCCTTCGAAGCCCACAGGGAGCTAGCTCAGAGCAGGGGAACCCTATCCCCGCTGATCCCCGAGCCACAGGGCCCGGACAAGGCAGAGGAGAGGCGGCCCCTTGGCTGTGGTGAGGGGCCTGTGCTGTGGGTGGTCAGTGGGCGGTCTGCTCTCCTCTGCCCTCTGTCGGGGAGGCCTGGGCCTCATGGGTGGGGGCTGTGGGGCTGTGGGGTGAGAGGCCAGCCGCAGGGCCAGGTGCCTTTGGGGTGGGACCTGGCCTGCCCACTTGGTCCAGCATGCGGTTGTGGAAAAGCCCTGCCTGCAGATGCCTCAGGCCCTTCCTGCCTAAAACCACAGGACGGGCCGGGCCCACACACGGTCCCTGCACCTCACAGACACCTGAAGTTCCCTGGGGGGCATGCTCCTTGGCACCAGGAAGTCACCTGCTCCAACCAAGACTGTGAAGTAGGTAGACACACAAAATGCGTCACCCATTGAGGACCCCGGAGCCTTGGTGGCCAGTGGTACTGACCGCTCCCTGACCACCTGTGCTGGTGTCCCCCTTCCCCATTCCCTAATGCCCTGGGGCCTCCTGGCCTCAGGCTCTGCTCCGGGGAGGCCTGACCTCAAAGGCCACACCTCTGCTCAGGTTCTTCCTGGGAAGACGGACACGGCCGCACTGGACGCAGAGGCCTGAATGAACGTGACGTGGTGCGTGAGACACTGGTCGGCAGCACTCAGTGTGCACCAGCTGTTTTCACCGCTGTTGTTCATTCAGCCCGAAGCAGCGGCTCTTGGACAACAGGACAGACACACACAGGAAGCTGCGAGGCCCAGGCGGGTCACGGGAACGGGCACGCCAGATCTCCCCATCACATGCCCAACCTCTGGCCTCCGCGGGGAATGAGGGACCATGCAGATGGGGGTGGGGGTAGAGAAGCCCCCCTGGGTTCAGCCCTAGAGGCCTGTTATGTGTCGAGCCAGGGTGTCCCGGGGACCCAGTGCTGAGATCACCTGGCAAGGGTGTGAAGTCTGGGTTCATAGTGGACCCACAGCCTCACGCCCCTCATTCCTGCCCTGGGAGGTTTTCAGCCCAGTTTCTACGGCAGGGTTTGCATGGATGCCAGTTAGTTCAAAGCTCAGGTGAAGGGACGTCTGTTTCTGTGGCTTCTCTGGAGATGCAGAAGGGTCCCCATGAGGAATGCAGACTTTCTGAACTTCCTTTCTCTCTTGGGCCCTGGGAAGCCCCCAAAGCAAGCCACAAGTGACATCGACTCCCTGTCAACTGCTTGTAAAAACCACAATGTCACTGGGACGGGTGGTTCACAGAGGTAGGGGGTGGGGCAGCTCTGCTCAACCCCCCAGGGAGCCCTGGAGGCCGCACGCCCTCGGGGCAGGGCCTGCTGTTTGAATAATTGTCCAGCGTGGGTCAGTGACCTGCCCACCAGACAGCCCCCACTTTCATAAGAACAAGAATGAAGACGGCACAGGCGGGGAAGCTAACTGGATCTCAAAAGAGAGGACGGCCATGTGCCTCCCCAGGAGGCCCCTCAAATCAGCTGGGCGTCAGGGACTGGACACGTTGCTCTGACCTGGGGAGAGTTGGTGGCTGGTGCGTAGGTTTGCGGAGGGAGGAAGGGGCTGTGAGCGGCCGGCGGAGCAGAGCAGGGCCCAGGGCAAGGCTCCGCTCCGGCCAGGTGAGCAGGCTCTTCCTGCCCCTGCCCGGCGGCAGGCCTCAGGCAGGTGGGCAGCTAATGACCATAATAGGCGCATCACAGGGCTCGTTACGGGGTGAGCCATGGACTCGGGCTCTGCATCCAGGGACTCCAGGAGCAAGGCCCGCTGCCCTAGGTTGGGGTCCCCGCTCGCCTGTGTCCCCCCCTGCTGGGCGTGGGGCTTCTGCAGCCCCGGTAGCTGGGTTACAGATCTGAGCCCAGCTTTCCTGCTACTCTGCTGTCTGGCCTGGGGAGGTGGCAGGAGGACAGGCCCCAGCACCCCACGAGCTCAGTTCCTTCCGTAAATGGCTCTGCAGATGTCAACGCGTCCACCCCTATAGTGTGTTCATGGGGCGTTGGTGCAGCCGGGGGGCAGGCCCGGAGCTCAGAGCCATTAAGTGACTTGGGCTCACAGACGGGATGCCTGGGCATCCATGCAGCCTCCAGGAGCCCCGGTGCCCAGCGCAGGCTGCAGGGGTTGGCAGCCAGGCGTGTGGCTCCCGTCACACCATCACCCGAGCAGAGCAGGGGCAGCCACAGCTGTGCACGGCACACTCGACACAGAGACCTGACAGCCAGACACACAGCCCACTCTCTCCAGCGCCAAGACAGGGTGAGGGGCACAGGCAGCGAGGGGCAGGCTGTATCTGCTGCTCCTCGGGGCCCCCAGGAGCCCACCCGACCCCCGGAGGGACGATGCCACCCTCCGAAGCTCACCGCTGCCGGTCCAACGGGACTGCTCCCCGCTGCAGGTCCTGTGGAAGCCCGGGGCTGGAGGCAACAGGCCAGCGGGCTCATCCACGGTGCAGGACTGGGCCCAGCCAACGGCAGGGCGATGAGTATAAGGAGGAGCCCCAGAGACTGGCCTCCTGGTTGGCACAAGGGGCACTAAAAAGGGGAACGGTCATCAGCACCATCACGGGGAGAGAGGAGGAGGCCATGGGAGGGGAGGGCGAGGGCCCTGGGGCTCTCCTCCCCGTCCAGGGGCAGAAGGGGGCTGTGCCTTACGCACCTTCCCTCAAACACTCCTGCTGCGGCTGCAGATGAGTCAGGCCCGTGAGAGCCGGCCTGTGACCCAGGCCACTGTCTGCCGCGTAGCCAGCCTGCCTGCTGCCCCCTTCCCCAGCTTTGGGGCTCATTTTCTCGTTTAGATTTTTATGACTGGTCTTTAGAGCAGTGTCAGGCTCCCAGCAAAGATGCGAGGAAGCTTCAGGATCTCCCAGGCCCCACCTGCTCAGCGCAACACCTGCCATCGACACCTCCTGCACAGAGGCACGTTGGTCCCACTGGTGGAGCCACGTAGCACCCAGGCCAACCATGCACAAGAGGGAGCACCCCGGGCTGTGTGCCCTACAGTGTGGACACGTGCACAATGGTATGTGTCAGTTTTCAACACTTGGGGGAATGAGAGACCTGATCAGGTGGGGAGTCCTAGACCCAGACACCAGTGTCTCCTCCTGAGAAGCAGGTGGCACGTATCAGGTGGCCCAGTGTCTAGGGTCTCCTTTGGCCTCTCTGCTGCAAGCTAGGGACACACAGGGCCAGAGTGGGGGAGGCTGTCCACGCAGAGCTGCTCCTGGCTCTGCACCATCCCAGGAGGGCGTCGGAGCCGGCTCGAGTCTCCCTGCTGGACCCAACGTGCCTACTCACCGACGTCCGTCTCCCTGTGGTTCTTGATGTATTCTGCCAGCTCGAAGTTGCCCGCGATGATCGCCACCTGCAAGTGGAAGCCACATGAGGTCAGGGCCAGCGGCACAACGGGGGGTTCACGGGCTTCATATCAAGGGAGGCCCAGGACAGGGGGCCCACAGAGCTCTCCAGGCTGCTGCTGACCCGCACGCTCCCACCTGCCCAGCACCCAGAGCTCGTCCCAGCCTCCTGGTCACTTGGTGATGATGGTGTTGCCATTCACTAGGACCATGGGAGTGAGCGTGACTGACCCAGAGGCAGACAGGGAGGTCATCTGACCAGCAGTGGAGAAGTCAGCAGGCCAGAGCCTGGACCCCCACCAGGAACTGCCTCATGTGCTCCCAGATGGCCTGCCTGCCCACGCTTGGCCCTGCCAGTGCCCACGGCTGCAGAACGGCCAGCCAAGTGCAAGTGTCTCCAGCTGAGTGAATCCCCTGCCCCAGGTGTGTGCACACTCAGGGGTGCATCAGAAGGAACCCGTGCGAAGTTCCAGAGATCATACGGGCAAGCTCACGGTGTCCAAGGGGACCCTGGGTGCCAGGCCAGCAGGCACAGGACACCAGCCGGGACACACACATCGACAACAGGCTGCCCCAGGTGGTGGTGTGGGCGGCCTTCGCAATCTGCACAGGCCTTAGGAGCTACGCGGGGCTTCCCGGGGGTAAGGAGCCTCCATCTGCAGCTTCTGCTCTTGCCTGAGTTTCCAGTGGCTCAGACGCAGACTTGCCGGCCCCACGATCCCACGAGCCAAGGCCTCACAGGACCTCTTGGTCCTGCACACGCTCGCCCATGGGGAGGCCCCTTGACTCCAAGGGCTTCTGTGTCAATAAGCACATGGTGAGCTAAGACCCTGGAGGTGGAAACGCACTACCTACAGCTGACTCCCGCGCATCACACCTGAGGCCACGGCATTAGTGGTCATTGCCGCCATCGCAGGCTGCCGGGACCCTGCTGCTCACCATCACTGTTAGCATTGCAAAAGAGCACCGGGGAGCACGGCCAGCCAGGAAAGACGGACAGTCAAAGTCTGAGGTACGGTGTCCACTGAATCATAGCTGGCTACACCACAGCACAGGGAAAACCATTACAAGCTGCGGACTGTCTGCACGTGTGTGGACATGCAGGTACATGTGTGTGCGTGTGTGCGTGGGTCATGCTGGTCTCTCTGGAGAGGCCCCACGAACACAGCAATCAGTGCCAGCAGTGTTGTGCTGCTGTAACGAGCATCCAGACACATGGAGCCCGCCTTGGGGCTGGACGGGGGGTGGGCTGGAAGTCTGAAGGTGCCTCTAGAAATAGGGACGTTAGTCATTCCAGGAAGAGCCCAGCTGGAAGTGGGGAGCCGCTGTGGGAATGGGGTGAGGGGTCCGCGTAGGGTGACAAAGGACCTGTCTAACTGGGTTCCGGGGCTGGTGGCAGCAAGTGCCAACAGGGACTATTGAGCTGAGAAGATTCTAGACAACACGTTGAGGAGCAGCGAGGTGGAGAGGGAGGTGGACTGGGAGGACCCGAGAAGGCTCGGCCTCTGTTCATGAGGGCCGCGGAGGAGGCTGGCGCAGCCCTGCTGGCTCTGACTGCCTGGAGCCCGCGGCCCCTTTCGCTGTGCTTGTGCCCCTCCTGGATCGGGACTGTCCCGTGTCTGTCCCGCGGGGCTTGCTGGAAGGTTTCCCTGCAGGGAATCTCGCTCGCCTCAGGAAGAACTGGGCCTCCAGTCTGAGCCGGGTGGAGGACGATCTTCAGCTGAGTCTGTGAACTTGACACTCAGGGCCGAGCGGTGAAGGCTCTGGGGCTGGCGATGTTGCATTCAAGGGCGTGGGAATTTGGGGGGCAGAGGACGGATCGCCATGGGCCAAACTGTGTTCCTCGGCGTCGTTTGTCTGAGTCTGAGCCGCTGGGGCGCATCTGGAGGGGCCTGGCAGCACATCAGGGTAGGTGAGGTCGGCAGGGGTTAGCGCCCCTTGGGGAGAGACAGGAGGGAACCGCTTCGCTCGCTCTGTACATGTGAGGACACGGCGTGAAGGCCACTGTCCAGTCAGGAAGAGCCCCAGCCAGAAACAGACCAGGATGGGCCCTGGCCCCGACTCCCAGCCTCCCAAACGGGGAGAAGACCAACGTCTACTGCTGAAGCCGCCCGGTCTGCAGGGGCCTCGCTACGGCAGGCAGAGAGCAGGTGGCCCAGGGGCACACACATGCTGCCCACGGCAGCACTGTCCACAGAACAGGAAGCAGTCGCGGGTCCCCTGGGGGATCACGAAGCAAAGTACAGTGGACTGTCCCTCGTCCTTACAGAGGAAGGACATTCCAGGACCTCCCATGGTGAGAGACACCAGCAGGACAGACACTGGGCCACCCTCTTACAGGAGCCCCTGGAGGTGCTAGAGCCACAGGGAGGGGGAGCCGGGTTGGAGGGGAGCAGGTGAGGCGGGCAGGTGCCAGGCCGGGGACTGAGGGAGCCCTGGAGGTGGCGGCGGCAGGTGAGGGTGGCTGGCGTCCCTGCCCACAGAACACGGTCAGGATGGGAATTTGGTGTGTGTTATCACACCCACACACAGAGACAGGTCCACCCGTGGGGACCACAGTGGTGAAGGTCACTGTGAAAACTTGAGATCCGCCCTGAAGAGCAGCAGGGGTTAGAGATGACCTGCTGGGCGGGGGGACATCGGAGGCCTCAGAAGACGGCCAGTGAGTGGATGGCCTTGTCCTGCTGGCCCTGGGTAGCAGCCCTCCTAGGACCGGCCTCTCTGTGTCATGGTCCCCATTCTCCAGTCTCTCCCACCGGGCGTGAAGGCGGGTAGGGGCACCTCCCATCGGAGAGGGAAGCCCAAGTGGCCTGCCTGAGGGACAGCGCCCCAGGGCCCTGCCCACTGACTCCTTGGACTTAGTGACCACCTCCACGGCAGCAGGAGGCCCCTCTTGGATGACTGCCATGTTGGCTCATGGGAGCTCACCGCAGAGGCCACCCACCAGGCCACCCCACACCCAGGCGCACCCAGGCTTGATGGCCACACGTCATACAGCTGGGGGTAGCTGCTGGTTTGGCTGCACCGAGGAGGGGGCCTGGGGTCAGCCGCCCAACAGGAGCCGGCTGTCAGTGACACCAAGAGTGGGGCACAGGCAGGGAGGGCTCAGGCCCTCTGCGCACTCCGTGAAGTGGGCACCAGGATCTGGGGGACAGATGAGGTGGAGGCACAGAGAGGTAAGTGGCTTGCCCGACAGCACAGAGCCAGGCGGTGCCAAAGCCAAGACGTCTGCTCAAGCCGCCCAGGTAGGACCTTGGCCTCATCGTCGTCACAGCCTGGGGCACGTCTGTGGCGCCGTCTAGTGGGTGGCAGTGCTGTTTAACTGTTAGCTCGTAACCACTCCAGCCCCATGTCCCTGCGTCCCACCTGGGGTTCCTGGGTCACAGGCCCCTGAGGCCCTGCTGAGGCTGACAGACCCCTCCTGAGGGCCCGCACCGAGTCCACCACAGGAAGGACAGATGGGCAGATGGGACCTGAGAGGGCCCGGGCTGCAGGACCTGCATGTGGCTGAGGGTCCATGGGGGCCTCCCTGCAGTGCACCTGGGGAGGAGCTCCGCCATGCACCTGGGGAGGAGCTCCGCCATCCCCACTCCGCCTTCTCCGCAACTCGGCAACCCACAGCTCCCCCATCTTCCCCCGACATTGGTGTAGCTCACACTCTGTCCCTGCTGCCGGGTTCCACCAGTCTGACTTTGCCTGTTGATCGGTGAGGGGGCTCTGAATGAAATCCCAGTGCTGACTTCTGGGGCAGCGTGACAGCTCCCTTGGGATCAGGAGTGACCCAGAGTGGACGGTGCCCAGCACCCGTGGAAGGTGCCTGACCTGTTCTGATCCGGCCTTCGCCCGCTGCATGGTGCACAGCTGAGGAGTGCGGGCTCTGGAGCTCAGCTGAAACCCAGACCAAGGTGTAGCCTTCGGGGTTCCACACAATCCTGGGTGCAGAGGGACAGAGAGCCTGCTGCTCCCTGCTGTGACCAGGGGAAGGTGCCAGAAGTGTGTCTCCCCGCTGCCCTGAGGTCCCGGTGTACGGGAGCTGGTGTGGGCTGCTGGAAGACGGGAGGAGGCGTGGAGGAGACAGCTGAGCCCCCTCAGCCCAGCCAGCCCTCTAGGACGGTGCAGTCACCCAGGCAAAAGGGCGGCCGTCCTCAGGACCAGGTGCCACTCAGTTCCAAATGCCGTGAGCGGTCTCGTCCTGCCTTGGGTTAGTTCAGGACCCCCGGCAGAGGCCAAAGCCTGCGATGCTCACCTGTACTTAGAATGGCGTCGTATTCACACATGACCACCGCCCACTCCTCAGGTGACTCTTAACACCTGCGCAAGGCCGTGCTCTGTAAACCGTGGTCCTACTGTTCTGTGGAGGGGATAATGGCAGGGAACGTGCCCCCGTGCAGCTGAGCCGCTTTTTCTGACTGTTGTTGACTGCACTGAAGGCCAGGGGGGCAGAGGGCTGCCTCTAACTAGTGGACGCTGTAGCCGACAGGGTTTATTTTATTCCTTTCCATTAAACTTTATTCCTGGTCTATTAAACTTCATTACAAAGTCAGGATGATTGTATCTGTCGTGTTTGATAAAACATTTATCAAAATTGATGTCAGATGCAGCAACTATCAAAGATGACTGTGTACGTTTCCCCTTTTGTTCTGTCAATGATGTGGATCGTATTGATCGATCCTGTTTTATTCCTGAAATAATCCCACCGAGCAAGGGAGTCAGCTCCACGTGGAGATTCCTGCATTGGGTCTGCTGATAGTGAGTGGCTGTTAAGCCACTTACCAGGGTGACGGTCTTAATTCTGAGCAGTGGTGGTGGAAGAATTACGCTTGTATCATTGCGCCTGGTTTCGGAGGCAAGTCATACACATTGAATGCTTTGCAAAGGCCACCAGTCCCAAGGGAGTTTGGCAGAGCCCCGGGGACTGTTCTCCTTGGAACCTGAGGGTCATCCTCTGGGTCACCCAGACACCTGCAGCCTGGAGATGGGAGGGTCTCCCGTGGAGCAGGGAGCCAGG